GGTGTGTGTGTGTGTGTATGTGTGTATGTATGTATATGTGTGTGTGAGTGTGTGTGTGTGTGTGCGCGTGTATGTATGTATATGTGTGAGTGTGTGTGTGTGTGTGTGTGTGTTTCAGCTGCTAACAAATGAACATTTGGGATGCAAAGAAAAGATAACATGTAAAAATTTAAAATAGGGCACGTTGGTTAAAATTACTACATTAAATTTTAAATCCAACTGCGTTTTCTGAAGTACAAAATAAGGAGCCTATCAAATGGGCGTGAAAACCACCACATAGTTTGAAATATTTGTATTCAAATTTTTCCCATTTCATTATTTATGACATTACTACCCTATAGTATTAGAACACATTCTAAAGCATGTATGAAAATACCACGAAACAAACCTGAAGGGGTCATCTTTGAAGCGTGAGCATCAAGTCTAAGTAAAGACCAAGTTCCTCCTCAGTCAATCCTGCCATAACTGTTTCAAACCACCTCTTTTAATATTGATGTATATCTACTTGTTGGTTTTTCAGCTTTGCCAATTTTTTTTTAATATTCTAGGGCTGAAAAGAAATAATAAAGGGCAGCACCTCAAGAATTTACATAGGTACGACCTAATAATATCTTGACTACCTCTAACCTCAGCGATCCCAGTGCTGTAGCTTTCAGATGATGCTTCCTACAGTGGGTACCACTTACTAGTACCCGTCTACCTAGATTTCTGAAGGCTTCAATCTAAAAACATATTTCTATAGAAAAAGAACCCCGTTTGACTTATAAGGGTAGCAATGTTGTTGTTTGTCATGAAGTTGACAAAAAAAGAACAAACAAAAAAGAACAGTAGGCAAAAAGTTATCTGTAACTCTCAAGAGGAATTAATGTATTCCCTAATTCCTCGATAATTAACAAGGATAAAACTGTACCCTGCACTGCCTCCCTTCAAGATGGTAAACTCATAATACAATAGAATCAAAACAGGTTGGGGGGTAGGGAGTGGGGGCGATGGAGAGAGGAATACCTTTTTTCTTGGCTCCACAAAGGGTTGAGGGCCTAATTATTTTTAAGTGTAATCCAGCCAACCTCTTCTCATGCTTAGCTGCCCTGAGTGACACTATTTGCGATGCCCAGTGTGCTGAAACTGAGCAGGTTGCTGTCAGTTTAAAAATGACTATAATAAAAGTGACCATGAAGATGGATCTTGTGATTTTGCGTTTCTAATCAGTCATCTGTGAAGAACACTTTTGCTTTGATTCAGCACACCGGTGACAGCCATGATTGATAGTGCACGAGGATGAAAAAAGGTTATTAACTGTCTTCCTATTAAGCTCAATGTATTACCCCTCTAGGTGTGTCTCATACTTTAAGTTAAAGTACTTCTCAGGTAAGGTCAAGAATGAACTCTATGGAGACGGTATCCATGCTGCTGGAAACCAGCTAGGCACCCTGGCATTGATTTTTTTTTTTAATTTAGCATTTAAACTACATTTAATTCCACTGCCTTATTCATTAGCTTAAAAAGAAACATTTTCTCCTGACAGCACCCATGCTGAAAACACTAAAGGTATAGGAAATAGCTTTAAATGTAAAGATGTGCATGTAGAACTAACTAGCAACACATGTGTGGCATGTACACAAAATCCATATTTAAACACATGGTAATATATTGTATAATCTATGGGTACTTTTAAGGGTAGACGCTAAAATTGATTTATGAATTAAAAGTAACTATCTGTATGGCATATGCAAAAATTGTTTTGATTGTCAATCATCCATTCATGGCAAGCTTTTGATAAAGAAAAAGCAGCAATTTCTAAGAAGCTCAACAGATCTACTAAAATATCTAGATATCTGTTTTTGTTTAAATGCAATACATAATTTATTAGCGCCATCTCATTTTATTTTTTAAAAAATTAGAAGTATTGGATATGGATGAACATTTAAATGACAGCTTCTGTTGGTGTCTTTGACTAGTATACATATATACGCCCATTCACAAATAGTATTGTAGATCCTAAGGTATTTAAAGGTTTGCAGCATACCATTCAATGAAATACTAAAATTTTAAATGTTATCACATTTCCTGTGTTCACTTACTCTTACTAGAGCCAAAATGTACTAAAAGATTTTTGTACACTTCATTTAACTTCTCCTTTAAAACATCTTAGATTTACAAGTTTGGTTCTGGGAGATAGATTATGCATTTTAATGTAAAATTATAGTATTATGTTTCTTCCTACATTTCCCACTGTAAGCACTCAGTACATGTCAAATGTAATGTGGATTAGCCAAAAATATTTAAGGATATCAATAACTTGGCATTGATGTAACCATTTAAACTATAACCAAATTTCAGCTCTGTGTGCTTGGCGGTACATCATTGAGCGCCTCTGCAGAGTGGCGCAGAATAAAAAATGTTACCAGAACGTTATTAGTGTTTCAGGGCGCACAAAATCATATTATGTCCAAAAGTTTTCTCTAGTATATCGTGACCTGTTCTCCAGTGTCAGTTATTATACCCGTTTTTGGTCTGTAATAAATTCTATTTCAAAAATGTACTATTTTAATATTAGGATCCATCAGCAATGAAATACAGAGAAAGTAAGGAAATGAATTTCAGGATTTCATTGAATTTGTCTTTAGAGCCTCAAAAATTGGCTCTCTGTCCTACTCTGCTTAATCTCGCCAGTGTTAAGAAACCTTTCCAGCGCTCTAGTATTTTCTGCATGCCAAGTATAATTTAAATACTTGCACGCTGAAAGCCTCTTCATAAAAAAAATGTTAGATCAGTGTGAAAATTGTGTATTTAGTGACTTGTGTTTATGTGGAGTGGACTTAAGGGTAGATTTTAGAAATCATACAGGGTTTCCTCCGCATGGCACATTAACTTTATTCTTAAATGGATTTCTCTTTCTGTCCTATCCAACTCCAAGAGACCAGCTTGGATCCTGAAACTTAGAAAATCGGCAATGAGATGAGCGATACCCCTTGTGTTTCTCAAAAACAGCGTTTGCTTTTAAAATCAAAAAAGAAAAAAAAGCAGTTTCAATCTATCTCATGGTGATGAATAAGCTGTTCTGACCTATTAGTGAGAGTCCTGTCTTCTTCCATCTGCCTCCTTGGGAGGTGCTCCAGGAAAAGGAGGCGGTACAAAGGCCGAGTAGGCCCGAGAGGGACACACAGATTTCCTGGGCGGCCCATTTCCTACTCTCCTCTGTTCCTTCTCTTCAGAGACTAGAGATCTAGGACACACATTACACACAGTGCACATTATACGAAAGAGCAAGGCACAGACAGTTTCAGGGAAATTTTAGGTCAGTTCCAAGGCAGTCCAGTAGCATGGCTGAAATTGATGCTGAGCCATATTTTTTGCAGAATCCACCAGAGTCAAACAGTCAAAGGTAAACACGCAACGTTTCCCTTTAACCCTTCGGACCCGCAGAACGGAATGTTGCATTCATTGTGGTCAAGCAAGTGAGGAACCTGGTGGGAAAAGACCCACACCCTTTTGCAAACCCCTGGAATGTGGTTCCCAGGCTGCTGCTGACTGGGTGTCATCCACTGCTGGGACACAAGGCATCTTTCCAGTATCTAGGGCTTGGGTGACTTTTAGCTTGAAACTCTCCTGTGCAGCTCTTCCAACCCTATATGCATCTCTCCTCCTCCTCCTCCTACTCCCCCCTCCCCTCCTCCTCCAGACCTACTAGGGGACTTAGGGTAGGGGTGTGACGGGTGGTGCACATCTGTGTAGCCAGACCGTGCAGGCTAACAGCTGCTGTCCACTGGCAGACCGTGTACCTGAGCGTGGTGGCCGCTCTGCTTGTCCGCCCAGCCCACTCCTGCCTGCAGTGTTGCTGCTGTCACGCCAGCCGGTGATTTGATAGGCTTGTCGGGTTGCCATGGTGTTGACTTCTTGCCTCCGAGGAGCTGCCCAATGACTGGAGGTCTGGGATTAAAGCGGGAAGAGGCAGCGGCCACAGCGAATTTCCGCGGCAGCTGCAAGCAGCGACCAACAAGGGGCCAGAGGACGAGGTCTTCGGACCGCGCTCCCCGCCCGAAGCCCGGGCGGCCGTGCGGGGAGGACAGGCAGGGCGGGGGAGCCCGAGGATGCCCGTGCGGGCGCGACACCCGCGCGCGAGTCCCTCCTCAGCGACCCGCTCGCCCTGCGAGGAGGCGGCTTCCAGAATCCGTTCTTGCACCAGACACGGCCGGGGCGGGGGCGGGGACTGGGAGTCACGCGTGTTCAGAGGGACTCGAGTGGGCGATACACTGAACCCCCCCCCACGCCCCACCCTTCCCTGGGGCAACGAAAAATAATAATAATAATTTTGGCACATACAGAGGCGCCACACGGAGCGCTTTCGGAACCCTGGAAACTAACTTAGTCCGAGAAGAGAACATGCAATTAGACGGCCGAGTGCGTGGAGACCGTTGCTCGGGCGGCGGCGGGGGGGGGGCCGGGTGCGCGCCGCCCCGCCCCGGGAGCCGCCTCTGTTACAAATTAGTAGGTAGGTGAAGGTTACGCGAAGAAGAAAAGGGAAAGTAAAGCTGTTAAAAGAAGAGAAGGAAACCCCTGGGAGCTCGGCTCGCAGCCTCGCCCCCACCCGCACCCCCACCGCCTCCCGATCCGAGGGGACGCGAGCAGGGGGCGCGCTTCGGTGGGACGAGGCCCCGCCGGCGTGTCTGGCGGAGACGGCCGCCGCGCGAGGGGAAGGGGACCCCGCTGCCCGAGCGGAGGCAGGGGGGCGCCGTGGGGGGAGGGGCGCGGCCCCGCGAGGACCGAGAAGTGAGGGCGGTCAGCCCCGTGGCGGGCAGGGCGCACGGAAGGACTGGAGCCGGGGGGAAAGCAGGAGGAACAAGGTGTGCGCCGCCGAGGGAGGGCGTGGGGGGGCCCCCGCAGGCCACGCGAAGGAGCCGCCGCCGGGCAGCACCCCGAGCCGGACGCCAGGTGCCGCGCGGCTCGGGGCGACGCGGGGACTTTTCTGGCCAGAAGAGGGGCTGCTGGCTCAGCCTGCCGGGTCCACCGCGAGTCCCCAACACACGCCTCACTAACTTACTTCACCGCCACTTGCATTGATTTTCTTTAACAAATAAACATAACGCCCGTTGCAGCCAACACGTCCTCTTGCTGCTGCCGGAATGCCCTGAGCTCAGATGGCTGCGTTGCTCCGGACAGCAGTGTTTCTCTCTCCAAATAAATTGTTTTCCTTTCCCGTAAAAAGATCAAACGTGTGATCACATTCAGGTGGGGGGGGGCAGTCTAGTCCTCGACTCCCCCCCGCCCCCCCCTCACCTCTGTAATTTGGGAATCACCTTTTAGATTAAGTAGAAGACAGGTCCAGACACAAAGTTTGCAAACGTGGTAGGTCTCCGTGACATTTACATATTAATTTTTGCTGATAAGAAGTAACTCCATTTGGGAGGCAGACGCCGGCAAAGAAATCGACTCGTTTGCAACTGCAGGGAAATTAACACCAGTCCGACAGCCACACCTAAGCTAATCCCCTTGAGTGGTCTCTAAGAAATATTTCCTTTAAAAATAGAGAAAGTATTTATTTTAAAGCAGCCCCCCTTCAAGAGCAGTTTCTGCTCGAGGTTCTTCCCTACATGTCAAAGGGTTGTTGAATTATTCATTATTGTAATTACTATCATCATTGTCATTATCCCTTTCCATGTGGAAATAATTTTATTATCGTAATTTGATATCTGAAGAATTTCCTGTTAGTCGTTTGATAATCATTTTTTTTCTGTTGAAAAGAAAAAGTTTTGTTTATAAATGAGATAGAGAAAATGTTTTAAATGGCTTTGATGTTTGCTATAGATTTCCGTTTATCTAATCGATCGGAATGCCAATAAAATCGATTAAAGGTTTAGTGTTTTACAAACAACCATTTTGTGCCTTTTGATTTTACGTTCAGAATGATTTTAATAAAGCTAATGCTTTCCTTGAACATTCTCCCCTTTAAAAAAAACCAAAACCTTTATCGTTTTTCCTTTTATTATTAGAAATTGCCACTTAAAGTTCTCCTAATAGGAAAATATAAAATATAAGCAATGGCTGCAGTGGTTTAAATTTCATTCTCTTGTTGCTCGAGGTATTTAAATAAAGCCCTTTAAAATCTTGGTGAATTATATGTGATCATCCAGTGATTGTGGAATATTAAATTAAACTTAGATAAATCCGCATTGAAGGAGGCAGCACCCAATCCTGAATTTATTTCCCATTTTCTCTAACAGCATCACTGCGCTCTTCTCTTTGCAATGACAATGTGCCAAATCTGGGCATTTTGAAAACATTTTCCATATGCTATAACAGGGGACTGATAGACAAAGAAGAAAAGAAGATGATCTTTTTGCTCTGAGGTATATTTTTCACCTTTTTCTCTTCGACTTTCTCTGACAATCATTTTAAAGCAAAAGTTTGAAAATCATTTAATTCCTTTTTTTATGTTTTGCTTTCACCTTTTTTTTCTCTCTCTCTATCTTGTAATTTATTCCTGGAATGGAATTTTGGTTACGATATAATGTAATGCTATCACTGGTACCTTGACAAACAACATTTGTTTCAAAATCTTTGATTCATTTAGTTTCTTCTAAGCTGCCTTTTGTAATTAAAGATGATTTAATTATACATTTTGTAACTTTGATCAGATGGGCTGTTTGTTTGCTGTGGGATTTAATGGTGCTTTTGTGTCTAATATTTAGGGACGTTACATGCAGAGGTGATGGTTTTTTCTTCGTTTACAAAGATCTGCAATTTGGTTTTGGAAACGTGAATGTTTGGATGAATTTGTCCTGTTTTAAAAGAATTCTGTTCGGTGGCTGGAGTTTACTATACTGTCTAGATACGATTTCATTGACTAGATATACATGTTTAAGGTTTTAAAAGATTGCAACTTTATCTCTTACTCCATGAAATCCCAGTTATTGTTTTTTTTTCTTTTTTCCCCCCATTTATCTATCTTTTCCCATCTCCATCGCTGTCTCTGAGAGCTCTTCCCCAGATGGAATGCAAATTTTTCATTGGATACTCTTGCTGGAACTATCTCCTTGTATTTTGAGAAGGGTGTGCTTGTGAGCCTGGGTTTGGATGGTGTGAACGTGTATTTGTGGGGAGGGGATGAGGGGGGTGTTTCAGTGGCGATAAGGAGTCCTCATTAATTTGCATGAGAGCTGTGGAAGTGCTTGTGAAGTTAGCGAAGTTAGCTATTGTTTGGGAAGAGTCCTGCCTGACCTTGTTTATAAACACTGGGCTGCTTGCCTACAGGGAAAGGAGGTCACAGCACAGTCTGAGCCCTGACCTCTGAAAGGCCAGAGGGCGTCTGACTGTTCTCTTTCCCTCTACCCCCTTTCCCTGCTACCCTCCCCTAATTCTGCCTTCCTCAGCCCCTCTAGAACTCCACCCCCTCCCCATGCCTTACCTTACCTGTGTCTAACTTTACATAATGACCCCCTACACACACACACACACACACACACACACACACACACACACAAACACACACACGTCAAACCTCCAGGAAAAAAAGAGGTAAAACAGATTTACTGTAAAGTTAAAGCAAACAAATGTACTTTAGGAAGAGAGAAATTTACAGGGATATGGAAATACAGAGATAGAGGCCGGGTAGCAGGATGTGGGGTCCGGGACGAGGGGAGGGCATTTTTATTATTTAAAAAAAAAAAGACCACAAAGGAGCTAGAACTAGGTTGGGGGAAAGGATGGAGTCAGCTAACGGCGGGTTTGACTGTCCACAAATACCACACAGATACGTACACGTTGAAAAACGTCCTTCCTTTTTGAATTTCATTTCATCTAGTTCACTCTCACTGTCAGAGTGTCCATTCTGGGTGTTAGGTCATATTTTAAAATCCCCCCCTTTTCTTAGTTCTCGGGGAAAATACACCCTCTTTCATAGTCATGAGACCTGGCGCTCTCCCACACTATTTTCTTGAATTATTTCATTGTAAATATAATGTGGTTGCGTGACACCTCCCCAAGTAAGCCCTGCACTTGCCGGATTCACTGCCAACCTCACGTCTCCCCCTGACACACATACGTACCCCCACCTTCTCACCTCCCCACTCACAGAAAATGACAGGCACGGGTATCAGGTTTAAGTGTGTTTTGGAAAGGAGTTGCTGACTTAAACAAAAATGTTAGTTAACAGACTGCCTTTGTTAAATAGCCCCCGGGTGCAGAAGACCCAAGGTAAAGAGGGAAGGGGAAGCGAAGGGGCTGAGGATCTGAAAGTGTCTGCGGTGCTATAAAGAGTTCCCAACGCTGAAATCTTTATAATACCTTTTGCTTCAAACTGAGCTCATCTGCAGACCCCGGAAGCGCGGTCAAAAGACGGAACCTTTTCCCCTTCTGGCTGGGTTGGTCTCGAGCTGGAGGGACTTGGCGGGTGGGGTGGGGGT